CTGCTGGCCACTCGGTATTGTTGTCTTTCTGCTGGCCACTCGGTATTGTTGTCTTTCTGCTGGTCACTTGGTATTGTTGTCTTTCTGCTGGCCACTCGGTATTGTTGTCCTCCTGCTGGCCACTCGGTATTGTTTTTCTGCTGGCCACTCGGTATTGTTGTCCTGCTGGCCACTCGGTATTGTTGTCTTTCTGCTGACCACTGTTTATTACCGTTACCGCCCTCTACAATTACCGTATCGGCGCACTGAGCTCAATCCTAATTACTTAAGCCTAAAACAAAAAAGTTAAATGCTCATTAGAAATTCAAAACCCAAAAATAACCCACACAAATTTAATATATCTTATAGAAACGTTTGGACTTTAGCTCCATCGTCAGATCCAAAACGTATTCTATAAATAGATTTGGAATCTATGTGGTTTATTCTTTGTTTTTAAATTTATGGCTAATCTGCTTTTCAAGCAATCTAATGACATTTGAACTTATTTATCTTTTGCCAGAGTTGTGAATGAATGGAACATCTGATTGATAAATTGATGGAGGGTATTTGTTTGTTGCGGACGTGTATTCTCGATGAACTTCATTCCGTTCTGCTCAAGTTATTTAGATTCTTAATCACTTCTAATATATTTACTTCATTCATAATGTTCAAGTGTTTCAAAATATATCTCTTTTATTTCTAAAGAGAAGGTGTTCTAATTAAGAAGTTTGTATGCCTTATTTTTATAAAATATTTTTAATTTTGTACGTTCTCTTATTTCTCTGCAGTAAATACATTACTCTCTCTGTAAAAATGTATATTATTTTGGCTAAAATACATTTGTTTGCTTAGGGTGGTGAATTCGACGAGCAAGACAGGCTCGCTGCACCGCAGCAGTGCCGGTGGAGGCGAGAAGTCCTCCACCACCAACACCAACTGCTCCTCGTCCTCCTCCACTCCTTCCATCACCTCCTCTGACATCACCATGACCGTGCGGTGTGGCACCGCTGAAGGTAATATATTATTAATGCCGCTACCGACTTCACATGGCAGAATTCTGCTGGCTTACTCAATTCGTTTCACTCATGGACATATGTTTATTTTTTTAATATCGTAAGATGTATAATGCAAATTCTTAGTTAAGTGGAGTTTCTGCTAGCAACATTTTACCTCCTTTTAATTTCCGCATTACTCAAGTGAGATCCACTTCGCATCAGGGAGCCCGGGCTGTAAGCAATAAATATTCCAAATTATAATTACTATAATTATTCCATATCTTGTTCACGTTGTTAATTTCAGTCATTAAATTTCCATAATTTAGGTGGACCAAACTCCGAGTCGTGCGCAATCAATTATAACTCCATGTGCACGAAAATGTTCTATACCAGCGCAATGTCACAAGTTAGCACAACATACTTGGAACATAGTATGAAAATGTTCTATAGGTGCATGAAATCATAAAAAAATAACACTCAAATGCTAAATAGAAGCATAATATCATTAGGAAGATTGCGTAAAAATGTTTTGTGGGGGCATAACATCGTGAGGAACGTCGTATGAAAATATTAATAGAAGCAATCCAATTCATGATATTTTATCCTTGTCTTCAATGATCGCCACACTGGGCCGTGTTCGTCGACAGGTGATAAATACAAGATTTTTACAAAAAAAATTGTGTCGAACCGCAACGATGAGGCTAGTTTTCTGATAGGGCTAGTTTTCAACGATCACCACGCCGTTTATGACGGCTCATTCAAGAGTGAAAAACACGAGTCAATTTCAGGTTCGAATAATAAATTGGAAAGAAGGACGATTTACGGCCGTAGTGAAGAAAGACTATGTACGACCGTAGGACCGCAGAACATCTGACAACTGCAACTCGGCACGCATTTTATTATTATTACTATTTTTACAATATTATATGTTTGTTGTATTGCAGGCGTGTCCTGCTGTGTGTTCCGTCACGACACCCAGCGAGACCTGGCGCAGTGGGTGCGCGTGTTGGTGCAGGGCGCGCACGCTGCTGTGCACAGGCAGAAGGAAGTCGCCTGCTGTGAGTTATCCCTGAGTAACACAGTATTTTTCATCTTATATCAAGGAGTTAGGCTCTTCTATAGTATGAAACGCAGTATATTTGACTTACTAAGTGTCTCTCTGCGCTGTCTACAAGTTTATTTTCTTGTCGTACACGCCAGACTTTTCTGTATGTGCCAGTCAATGTTATTGATAATGCATCTTCGATGTCAACTGTTTGAAAGTTTGTATACTCCAATTTAAAAAATTAGCATAGCCGCAAACGTGGGATTTCGCGTTCCTAGGGGGATTGTTCCTGAGCGCCCCACCGCTGAGCTCGCGGTGTCTGACTGCAGGTCTCAGTTGTGGGGTTAAGTTATTATGTAGGTAGGATTCCTTACATTTCCCTTCTCTGTCTCTCTCGTGCGGGCGGCCGACGTCCCGTGTAAGCGACCTCTTGTTCGAGCGTCTTCGTTTCTGTTGCTTTTCACCTGTCCCTCCTTGTCAATTCGTCTCTTTTGAGATGCTAACGCTGCTTCCTTCGAGCCAGCTTCAGCGGGCTGGACATCTGAGACCTGACCTTCCGCCCCTTGTGGGTGATGAACACTTTTTGATTCGAGAAACTTTTGATAACTGAGACCTTCCACCTCTTTGGTGATGTTCATCTTGACTTTCGGGCAGGGTTGGCAATGATTAAATCAAAATGATTAAATCATGTGATTAAATCACTTGATTTTTTTATAAAAAAATCATGATTTTTTGATTTTTTCGATTTTTTTGATTTTTTGATTTTTTCATATATTTAAATATATTGAGTGGCAGTCTTTAATTTATATTGAGGTATTGTTATTCATGGTTTAGTATAAATGTACTATAAATGACAAATTGGTATATAAACTTGTTGCCTTTAGTGTGTATTAGGTTTCAATAAATTGAATATTTTTGGTACAGAGGCATCAAGTGTGCAATACATTGTACGTAGCTAGCAGCTTAGCTAATTCTTATAAGGCTATAAGTAGTCTTTAACTATTTGACTATTTGTTATATATTGATTTAGAGTCTGGTAGATTTATAGGACATAAAACTAGTAGATCTATTGATAGTGCTGTGCACTGTGCTATATCAGCTACCTATCTGTTATGTGACTCTTCAATGTTTAGCAGATCTGCATTCCTGAAGTGTTTTTGTATATTGAAGCCAGTTAAATGGTCAATATTTAGCTTATTACCTTGCTCCATACAAACTTTACAAAGCTAATGAATAGACATAGTACTAATAATTGTTTACCCAAAAATCCCTAAGTGGTAAACATCACCTTGGCCTGTTGGCCATTATTGAAGGCAATAAGTGCCCTTTTTAGCCATCCATTATGATCCATATACTGTTATTGTTAATAGGCTAATTGCAACATAAAAAATAACACGCCAAAAAGACAAAAAAGTTGAAAAAATCAAAAAAATCAAATAAATCGTGAAAAAAATAAAAAAAATCATTGATTTTTTATTTTTTTGATTTTTTTTTTTTTAAATCAAAAAAATCGCCAACCCTGCTTTCGGGGCGAGATAGCTAAATAGCTGAAGCGCCAGTAAACATGTGGCCACTAAACTAACTAACTAACCGTAGCCGCCAACGTAACCATTCTATAAATTTTTTATAAACTGATGACGGTGTCGTGCCCGTCTTTGAAACGTTTTCAGTGACGACTTTGTGAATTTACTTAAGGATTTCTTTGATTTTAAATTCTAGTCGTCTCTGATAATAATTTGCTCAGTGAGTGTTAATACTGAGCAGTTTGCGAGTGGCAGCGAACTGAGTGCAAGCTCGTACTCCACCACGAGGACGGCTTCTTGCTTTATTCTGCCGCTGCCTCCTGCACTCCTGGCTCCGCTGCTGCTGCAGGAGCCGTAGGATGCCGGCTCCTCTGGGCACATCCTTTCCACAAGCTCAGGCTCTCGTGGGACGACGGCGTCAGGATGCTCTTGCTTAGATTTGAGGGCGAGAACGACGTAGTGAGTGATGAGGCTGTCTGTAGAAATAATGAAAAAAAAAGCTATGACTCTGTCAAAGATTGGGTTTAAAAAGCGTGAGATCAACACTAGTGAGCAAGTTAAGATACTGCAGTAGTGGGAAGACAACCATTAAAATGCTTGCTCTAAAGTTTAGAGTTCCTCATGGTTGTTTTGTGTTGCAGGAACTGGACCTCAAGAGCAACCCCAAGCCGTTCGTCTTCATACTGCACACTTTCTTGTCGGCCAAGGTACACAGTCAGGGAGCTCATCTCACGCCCCAGGCCAGCATTAACACTTCCTAGCCCTGCATTCGTATTGCCTAGTCCAGATGGAACTCGTCACAGCTCCGTGTGAGCTTTTTATCGCGTGACATCAGCAGTTATTAGCTGATTATTAGGAGAACTCTCCTTGTCTCAGCCCAGCAATAGCACTTCCTGACAAACAATAACCTTATCGCCGGAAGATTTTTCTCCAGCATCACTACACACCTAAACCAAACTATGAACTTTTTCTTCTTAACTAAAGTGGTTGCCTGCTTTGTTTTTTATTATGTTATCTATCAAGTTAGTTTCCCTATCCGGAACAGGTCATAGTGTTATATTCCATAACCTGAAATTACGATTAATTTTTATCGTTATCTAGTTGACTTCTAACTACCTAGATGTCACCTCTAATAATCTGCATCACTAATTTATAATCGCAGCTCCTCGTCTGGGTTGAAAGTTCCACTACCTGTATTTGATTTTCTTCACTCTCAGCCTTGCTTTGTTGAAGGCCCATTTATTTGGTTGCTCGTCTGCTTTTTCATTGTTTTTGTTTCATACGTTTCCCCGTCACAATTCCGATCTCATTTCTGTCCGGTCTGGAAAACCGTCTGCTTTATTAATTTTTTTCAAGATCTGTCACGGCAGTCGGGTTTTCAAGTCTCAGGGATTAATTGATGAATCTAAATCTTCTAATTGAGGCGATTTTGCGCACTTTTAAGTCATATTTCGACGAAAATCCGAGACTCATTCATTTAGTTTTGCCTTCGCCTTGATTCTAGAAAAAGCTTTGTTTTCCTTTCCTGCGAAAGCTTTCTATGTGTTGATCTGTTGCAGTAGTATCTGTAATGAACTTATAGCATTAATTCCGAGCAAATTTTGCTCCTGAGTTCCTATTTCGAAAAACAGCATTTTGTAAGGTGAAAACCCGCTGATATCTTCTCAATAGTTTGTATGGCAAACGTTTGAGAGATAATGGATTTTGCACAGTAGTTTGATGTTGTCTTCCAATGTTGTAAGGCTGTTTCTTTCTAACTTTCTTTTATGAATCGCTGGTGATATTGCAGATTCAATATTTTACAAACTTCAATATTTTACAAAGTTGTTTACAGTAAATTCGTCAATTTATCGGGTCTACGTTGCTAGATTGAAGCAACATCTAATATTTTTGACTAACACTCTGTGATGTGGCCCACTGTGATCAAAACTATCAGCTGTCACCATTATTCTATGCCATAGACATATCAGTTTGGTGGCTCCCGCTCAGCAATAACTATTACTGCGAAGCAGACTCGGAATTTCTGTATATTTTTGAAATGTCGGTTCGTGGTTGATGATTCACAGTTGGATACGCGCCTAACTCGATGTGGATGTTTAGCATGGCTGTGCAAGAACCCAAAAACTGTTGACTTTGACTGTTCAAAGTTACTCTAAAATGTTTACTTTAACGTTTTAAACCGTTCACTCACGGAGCTGTGAACACTTCAAACATTCAAACTAGAAATGCTGCGTGCGTATGCTAGCCCTTTAATATATTTAGCGTTTAGCGATCGCCGGAACAATGAAATCAGAAATATCTTATCTGGATGCATCCTGACTAAGTCTAGACAACACTACTTTGAACTTCGTATTTCCTCGTCTGTTGAAAACCAATCAGGCTCTTGTGATCCTCGTCGGGCTAAGCAGCATTTTATTGTTACCGTAGCTGATAGGGAAACCTACAGCCGCCCATGCTACAGTAAAGATCTGATGGTTTGATATAAGTAGCGCTTAACAATCTTGCCATGAGGGTTTGGGAATCGATCGGCGCCAGATGATAAATAATGGCAGAAAATTATTTATCGTATAGAAAACACCAGTTGAGGGCTCAATTCTCAACCAGTATTTTATGTTGTAACTTGTAAAGTAATCAGTTTTTACTCAGAATTTTTTTCCCGGCGGCTGGTAACCGATAAATGCCGTCCCATCTTGTATTTCTTTTAATTGATGGTCATTTTCCTTGCAGTTCTTCCGCTCAATATTTTTTCCTTCCGTTTTATGACCCTTCAGAATTTCTCTGTGTAAACTTTGAAAGTCGTTTTCTGTTTGAGCAACATTTGTCAAAATAAATTAACTTACTCCATTCAATATTCATTTCAAATAAATACGATGATGATTAATACTGCCACTGATTACAACCGTCTACTAACAACTCCTTCTTTTTACAACCTATTTTTATGCCGATCTCTCTTAAGATCTATTAAGTTAGTCAGAGAGAGTCAGATTTCAATTTGTATTTGTTAATGTAACGCGTGGTTCCTTGATTCCATCCATGCACGGTCCTGATTTTTTCTCTGAAATCGTTAGTGATTTTCTCCCATGTTGTACCTTACTTGCTTGATTTGTACGCGTATTAAGGAAACGTGAACTTATTGTTAGGCTTCAAATAGCAGCAATTGCGCTGGTCTGCATCTTGCTCGTTTGGTTTGATGGTTTTATTATTTCTCGTTAGTATACATGTATTATATTTATGCATAAATCCCTGACGTGACGACGATAAACGCTCTGTCATTAGCTGATAATCTGGAAATTGCGCTGAGGAACATAAGTGCACTGGAGTTGGATGGCGCTGCTTATGCTCCACCTCAATTTGAGTGTTGGGGTCTCCATCATAATGCAGCTGTATTTTTTAATGTTTATAGATATTTTATTATGATATGATGATCTGATCAAATGATTGGGTCTTTTAGCGTTGTATGACCCTAATAGGTCCTCCCGATGTGTCAATATTTCATTTAAGACTGGTTGGGATTCAATCGCTTCTAACCATGGGAAGGCTCATTGTAGGTAATTAAATTGATATTATTTTTTACCTCAAATTTTACTTCACTGATTAAAGATGCCTAAGAATATATACCTTAGTTTGGTTGGATGGTTTCTTTTTTGATGTGGATGATTATCAAAATTTAAGTGAAAATTTCCCCTATGACAATCGCAAGATTTGGAGAGCTGGTCAAAAATAATCATAAGATGGTAAAGTTTGGAGGTTTCGACTGCTGTGCAAATATTGGCAGGGCGTTTACCGTACTAAACATATGCATGTAATTACTGTGTATACCTGTATCTGTATAGACCATTGTGTAGTTTGTGTGGCGTACTAGCTGTTTAATTTATCAAGTGATACCTTGCATGTCGCTCCTGATCTTTGAGATTCTCGAAAATAAGCATGTGAGTCTCATGTGAACTCTCTTATATGTTGAAAATATGTTGTGAAGGAGCTCGAGATGGCCAACGATATTAAACTAAGTCTTGCTTTCTCCTTTAACTTTAGCGTTCGAAATTCAGGTCGCACTTTTTCTGCGATCATCATATTCAATTAAATCAGCGACTTGGTTTTTTATTTTTCTTGTTTTAGTTTTGTTCTGTATTTTTATCGCACTTACGCCTCGTCAGAGATTATTTGTGACTATTGAGGACCTATAATTTGTTTATTTCTTCGCGATAATTGTCGGCTAACCGCTCATCTAATCGCTTTTTGATTATCAGTTACGATTATTATTGTTCGAAACCTAAATATTCAAATTAGTTTAACTTAATCTTCGGAATGTCTCATCAAAATTTGATGCATGTATCCATGCTTTGAAGTTTGTATTAGTTTCCTCTTAAAAGGTTGAAACAGGAAACCAATTTTTGTCTATAAACTCGTTTGTTCAAAAATTTCGATAAAAATATACAAGCCAAAATAAACGAATTTTCCGCTTTATTGTTTCATAAAATATAAACTTGGAACCGTTTGTCCTATTCAAATTATATATAAATTCTTTTAATATTCCCACGTTCATAGATTATCAATTTTTGCTAACTGTGAATTTTTTAACATTTTGTTATTTAAGTAACTTGCATGATTGAATTTACGTTGTTGCAATCTCTATCTTCCTTTATGTTGACTCTTGTTATTGGTTCGAATATTTACTTTTGTTGATGATCTCCAGAGTAGCTCTCGTACTTCCACTCTACTCTTGGTCTGCTAGCACCTCGCATGTCTATACTTGATAGTTCAGCCATCTCAGGGAGACTTACTCGCTCTTGTATAACAAATCTCTGGTAATGATTGATGTCAGCTGCTGTACTACTCCTAGTATCATTATTATTTATTTAAAATTTTGATACATTCAAAGAATTTCTAATCTGCCGCAATGATATTACTAGGAAATTAAAGACCTTATCTGTGATATATGGCAGCTCTCAAGGGGATGGAACGCATGGTAGTATGCATGGCAATTGGAAATTAGAGGCTTTCAATGGTCATCTGAAGTCAACACGGATGGCCGAAGATTTCAATGGCAATTTCCCTCAAATTTTTATAAATTTGGCACCAAACAAATTTTTGGTGCAAGAAACGAAACAGCATCACAAATTTCTGTCTCTGCATCCTGATTCCGTTTTCAACAAATTTCCTGATATTATTAATTTAGCGTGGAATTTCTTGTTACTTTTCCCATTATTCACTTTAGTGTATCTCCGTGACTATCTTTTGCTTTCGGCTGCTTCTTTGCTACCTGCTTGGAAAGGTGTTCCGATTAGAAGCAATTGGAGACTCTTTAGTTTCTGTTATTCTAGTGTAGAAAAATTCGCCCATTTGTAGAACACGAGTCTCTGCCTGTTTCTTTGGTACCCCACCTCGCACGATCCTCGTTTATTTTTACAACGAATAGTCAAGTTTTTCACCCCCACATGTTCTTTTATTTAATCCTTCTTTTATTTCGAACGTTACTTTGAATGAAGCTCGTCTGACACCAGAATTATCTGAGTATACGGATTGCACTTTGTGTTGGTGCTGAACTAGGAGTTCAAACGCGATTTCAAGTTCAAACCAAACTGGACAATACTCGTTCACTAGATGATCAGAAAACCTGCAAACCTTCGATTTTTGCACAGCAGCTCTGTAATGAGCCTGATGGCACAGCTGTAGGTGTACAGCAGCTCTGTAATGAGCCTGATGACACAGCTGTAGGTGTACACCCAATGTGTGCTATAGGTGTACAGCCAAGTCTGCTGTAGAGATATTTTCGAATTTGTACGAAAATTCAAGAGGTCAGCTATAGATTACTTACTAAAGACGGCAATTTAGTGACTTGAGAGCGGCAGTTCGTGTAACAACCCGCGGGTTGACCGCTCTAGACAAGTTTTAGTTTCGGATGAAGTTAGGTTGTAACCGCAACTTTCGGGATGCTGACGATATCAGGGAGTATATGCTTCTTGCAGAGACTAAGCATAATAGAATGTGATATTTCCCCTGTCAAACGCGGATGAAATATTCTAGGCCGACTCACGGACATGACACCAAATGATAATTGTCAACGAATACGGAATGATTTTGTTGATTTACGCACTTGCTATCAACAATACATGTTGCTTAGGCACCTTCAAACACTTCACACTCGGTGTAATTCTTTGTTGTGCAGAACGCCACCGTAACTGTCACATTATATGAGTCGATCTGTCTTATTAAGGGGAAGTTAGTTGTTAAACAGCATACCGAGCACCAGAAGCCAAACTATGTTTCTTCTTTGTGCAGCCCTAATTTGAACAACGGCAATGTCGGGCCATAGTGTGTGGTCAACATGGCAGGACTTTCCACCTGCCTCTTCTACTGATTTCTCGCACAAATATTTCAAATAGGTTTTCGTGTGTGTTGCAAAGAATTTGTAAATAGATCTGGTTGTTTGGTAAATTATGCATTGTACGAGTATCAAAAGTTGAGAATTGTTTTTAAACACATCATAATAAATAGATAAACTAATCACTTTAATTTTACAAGAATTTGAAGTGAGTTTTCACTGATGAATTTTTGTTTAAATACTGGCATTTTCCTTGATTAAACTCATGCAGCTCGTTTTTCAAATCATAATTATCGTAATTTTTCCGTTACGAATTCAGTAAAACATTTTGCTTTTCATTCCTAATAAGTGACGTTCTAAGACCTCGTCAGTTGTTCTGGATGTGCTTTTATCGTCAAATTTTTTGCTGAGTAATCTTGTTTATTAATTGGGTTTAAATGAAACCTAAATTTAGATGCTTAGCTTGCAAAACGCTTCAGTGATCTGATTTTGTGTGCTTAATGCGATCGCTTTATTGGACGGCTTTTTATAATCAATCCAATTAAAAAGTTTATTGTCCTGACACAAGCTTGGCTTGCAGTTCGTAGCTGCTGTGATCTCATTTTGTTGCTTCTCTCTCCTACGCCGCTTCGCTGCAGTTCTGGAGGAACCAGTAGGTAACGCTTTTTTGCCCTTATTACTTCATAGAATTCCTGTAGAATTAATTCCTGGTTCCACATCAGTATTTGTAGTTTTATTTTAACCCTGCACTCAAATCCTCTAAAGCGACTGGCGATACTTTCTGGTAAAATAGTCTAACAAAACGAGCTTGAAATTCCATAACAAACAGAGACTTTTTGCGATTTACGTATAACGTATGTAGCTGCAAAGAAGATTGAACTCGACCAGAAACCGTAGAAAACTTTTAATAATTGTTAAATAATTAACCATATAATTTCTACGTGTCCTTTCCTTAATCCTAATGCCTCTATGTCAAATTCGAAATCAAGCTTGAATGATGTAAACTGTTTCAGTATGGAGAAGATTGTGTTTCTAAAAGAATTTTCTCAAGTCTATCCGGCGGCTCTCAAAAGATTATTTAATAAAAGGAATGATCGAGTGATTTGCCTGATCAGTGTATACTCGTATATCATCGCCTAAAACTGTGCGCATGTTGACAATAAATTTGTTTCTGATTATCAATGCTTAGATCAATCTTTTTATCTTAATCCAAATGTTCATGAGATTGCATCTTATGTGACTACATAACAAATAAATCAGCAGTTTGCTTTGTGCCAGTTCAAAATTCCGCACCTGCTGTTCGACCGTTAAAAATTACCCAGAATTATTTGAAACTAAAATCCGATCGAAAAATACAATATACTGCGCATCTTTACTTTGATGCACAGCTTTTATTAATGTTTTTACTGTCTCTCATTATTATATCATGTTTCTACTGTAACCGTAGCTGATTTGAGTTATTGACCATTTATTTTTTTCATTTTCTGTTACCTTTAGACTGAAATACCCTTTAACGATTGCCAAGTGTGAGTACAAATCCATCTTTGTATTTCAGAGATATATAGTATTTAGTAAAATAGTTTAAATGAGTTCTAACCCAATTTAAAAGTATTTTTGCATGCTTGGATCCAGTTATCTCCTATCTAAACCAGAAAGTGGTCAGTCTGCACAACTCTGAAACTTAACTACTAAATCCTTCTTCGTTACAGTAATACCTATCCTGCTGGTGCTGAAGGTAACAATCGAATTTTATAAAACATATTAATAAAAGGCTGTAAACATTGTTGAGCAATCGTGTATTCCAAAATGTTCTGAGTTTGTGTAGAGGACAGTTGAAGATCACAATAGTAAGTATTTGATGGCAGTGAGATTAGGTTTCCGTTTTTCGATTAGCATGACTCACAACGGATTTTGGGTATGACATAAAGGCTGTATTTTTTGATGATGATTTCTACTTTGGAGAATTCATGCACTTAAGATGACATGCAGGTCCGACATGACGAGTCTCGACCGTCTGCCCATGAGCTTCCTGCCGTCGCCAGGCAGCAACGAGAAGACTTCATTGAAGAAACCTCACCGCTCGCCCTCACTCGTGTTCTTTGCGCCGCTGGGGACGTGACTTGCCAGGCTACCAGCAGCTCCTGAGACGTCAGCCGAATAATCAATGGACTGTCATACGCTTCTACAAAGACATTAGTTAATCGTAAGAACCTAAATTATTATAATGTAACTTCCCAGACTACCAGGGACTCCTGAGACGTCAACCTAACACCAAATGGACGATCATCATCTACTTCTACTACGAAGGTTTTGGTTCAACTTAAGAGCCTAACTTACTTGTATCTCATTTTCCCAAGATACAACTATCTCTCGAGACAGTAGCCAACCAATTTATGGACTTGATCCATCAATGACGAAAACCGTAGTGAGCTGCGATAACTGAAAGATGTCAACGAAGCTTTCGAAGAAGTTTACGTCACGACGATATAACAGAATACGCTCTTCTGTAAAGATCACTACTGAGCGTGGATAAGAGAAAATCAGCAGATATCCTGTGTCCTGTGAGTATCGTCTATAATTAGAGCTAACCTGACGGTGCGTGAGTCCTGTACTTAATGAGGCAGTACCACCGCTTGAGGCAGGTATTCAATATAAATCTCCTTTATTGAGTTTTTCTTTCATCATTTTGCATCCTGACGCAATGCTCGATGAAGATTGTGGGACTAGGAGGTGAATAAATCATTGTCAACACTGATCATTTTCATTCACTTTGTCTCTTCGTCGAAAAAAGTTTTACTGAGTAATTGGTTTCTTTAAAAGGTATTTCCAAACTACAGTACATCCGCAGAGCAGAACCGATTATTTGTAATTATGCTCAAGCATTTAATCTTGAATGCTTCCAATTATTTATTTAGCCCATTATTTTGGCGAAAAAATACTAATTTAGGTGTGAATTCTATTGCACATTGTAATAGAATTTGGCGACTGAGACCAGCGTTTTAAATACGAGAGCCGTTGTGAGAAAAGATTAGCATTCGCTCTTGCCAACTAATCGGCCGCTTGTTTCATCTTATAAACTTCGGTATCAAATGTTTTTGGATTTTCGTGCAAATAGAAATTGATATAGGTGAATAATTTAATTCTTGCTAACTGCATTTTGGAGTAATGATATTGCACTGCTATGAGTTTAAGGTAAGCTGAGCATATTCTTGCATATAGTGACGATCTTCAGAACTCCGATAAAATAGCGGAAATTTTTTTCTGTTTAATAGATTGTTTAAGATTGTTCGGATTCTATAACTTATTCATGAAGGAATTTTGTGATATCATATTAATTTTTTTTCTATTTATGTTCTCCAAGTAGCCTGGGTTTAAACCCTTAGGAAAAGTTGGGTTTCAGCGCAATAAATTATCATTAATATGTCTTATTATTATAATTATCATATTATTATTAATATTGGGGAGAAATTTTCGTGTATATATATATAGTATAATTTAATTATTAACACTTGAGATAAGTTTTTAACCTTTTTTATATCTATTGCTATCGAGCAGTTTTGGCTCCGACAATTCAGTAATTTTGTTGAATAAGAGCGTTGTAACCAGTGTCCATGATACGTTTGATATGAAAGAGCTCTCTTCGAAATGCGACACTTCACTTGTTTTTGAACGTGCGTCTTGCGACGCCGAACGTTGTTTGGTCTCCCCTTCGAAATTACGAAAACTTGTACGTGTTTCATCTTTGTAATTGTGAAGTTATAGTTGCATGCACACCTTATTTTAACAATGTAGTAATTTTAGATTTTGAATTAAGGTAGGTAGGCAGTTGTCGCACAAAATTCTCGCTTGAGTGTGCGGTATTTACTTTCATCTTCTCAGTATGCGCATGGCGGTGAGCGCAAACATCATGCACCAAGCGAGAACAAAATTAAATTTAAATTAGAGCATCCTGACTAACATGTGTCATTGGCCGCTTGTATTTTGAGCGAATTGGCTTCAGTGTCGTTAATTGCCGATTAGAATACCTCAACTCATTTTCGGTTTTCATACTGGCAGGATCATCTTTATGCCTAAATTCTAGCAAAATATTAGAACTGTACAGTCCGCGTATTTAAATTTGAATTATGATAGGCTTGATTACTGTGCTGTGTGTAAAATCTACGTGAATGCTCAATAAACGCACCGTATAACATTAGGTTGAATGTTGCCACTTCTGATCGTTGTAGTTTTCTGGCTACTTCTATTCTTTTTTCCTGCGTGGGCGTCTTATTAATAAGCAATAATACTGCTAATGAGAAAATATTTCCGTAGTTTAATTATTTGACATGAAAAATTACTATTTCAAGAGAAATGCAGAATATAATAAACAACTTCCTGCTTATACTTTCGAATGCATAGTTGCTATTCAAGGAAAATCCATAGGTTCAATATACTCCTTGACTTGCAGCCCATTATTTTCTAGTAATTTGCCATTTTTCTGTTATACTGAAAAAGCTGCGTAGATAAATATTTAATGTTATCTGCGCTACTGAATTGATCTATGCTGCAAATTCAGTTTTTCGTTTTTAATTCACGAACGCATAGCGTACGAGACGACCAATGTATTACTTAAATTGTAAATTTGTGGAGCAGTCGAGATTTTGATTCCGGGTGAACTATACCTTTGGAGCTAATAATTGAATTCTCCACCAATATCTAGCTATGGACGTGAATTAACTTTTAGTAATCATAATTTTTTATCGAACTCTGAAATAACTGGTGATGACTCAGTATTTCTGACAATTATTTCTATCAAAGTATAATAATTTCCGGGTAATCGAACATATGCTGGTAGAAGCCTGTGCCAATTATAGAGAATAAATGATGAAAAGTCATCTATCGCTGTGTTTATAATGTATGATTTGTATAATGTGCAATTTGAATGGCTACGGATTTTATTCGTCTGTTCGCACCACAAAATATGCTTCTTTACCGATAGTCTCAGGAAACTTGGTAGAATCGATCGGCATTTTATAGAGTGGGTCATTTTACCTCGATACAAACGAGTAGATTTGTTACCCATCAAATGTTCCATGCGTGTTGACCGAGGAAAAAATATGAAAACATCAGAGGTTTTTAGATGTCAAATTAAGATAGTGTTTTCACAGCTAATATCCGCGTCAATGACGCGTTGAACGTTCCCTTGTATAATAAGTCCCTTATTGTGAATTATATTCCGCGTAGGAAAGAAACCTCTTCGCGCCGTCTCTAACTACTTCTCTGATTCTGACGATTAGTATCGGTTCTATTACTTCAAAACAAAATGTATGAACCCGAATGAGCCTCATTACTATGGATTTTTATCGTGATTGAGCCTATATACCATCTGGTTCCGGGATGTGATTATTTCAGCACGATTAATTAATAGATAGATATCCCCACCCATGCGGTGTTCCTTCTCTCGACCGCCGAATGCTGAGGCGCTGGAGTCAGCGTTGATGGGGCTCACGTAGCGAGTAAGTCTTAGGATTGTAGATTCTCTCAGTATCGTAGCGAGGATGTTGTTCAAGATACTTTACTGAATTCTATGGGAACAATCTACTGTAAACTTTGTCTGATGATACGTTGCCTTTATTTACTTGACTGCACATTTTTTCACTTTAATAGGCACTTTTTTCTTCTAATATACAAGTGACCGCTCGTGATTAGAATTTTGCTGTCGTGGTGTTACCTCTATACCCCATCGGCAACTTGCATCTATAAATGGTTCACTGAAATCATGCATTGATTCGCTGAAAATTGATTAAACTTGGTGTGACATTTTTCAGAACCATTGAGAAACTGGGGATTCTATCAACATTAAGTGAAATGACGCCTTTCGATTTTTCAACGATTTACCCCTAAATCCGAATTTGAGTATTGTTTTATGTTGATTTTTGATGCTTCAATATATCTTTGAATCATTTGCGTGTAATGCTGTCGAATTACTTCAAATATCTGTACCGATTTTATGAAAACGAATTTGAAGGAAAAAAATGTGATGAAAAATATAGTCACATCAATTTAATTGGTAATAAATTCATTGTCCTACAGCACTTAGCACTGCCTTGATATTTCGTGCACGAGTTACTTTTAAAAAATATTTCGGAGGATGCGGTGCTTAATTACTATCTGATCTGATGGTTAATTTCTTCGCTTTGTGCACGACGAATGACTCTAGCCTCGGCGGTTGATATGTTTTCTACCTTTTATAAGACTTGGAAGGCTTGAATGCTCCTGCGTGTGATGTTTACATGAGTGAGTAGCAATCATAGGTAAAATACCTTAAGTGTCTTCCCTATTCTTAGTATCATTGACGACGAGCATATCGACCGCAGAGTATTAAGTATATGTGCCTGCGGCTTTGTATCTCTAATCTCCTACATGTAATCAAATGAAAATCTTCAACTCAAATGTCGATCAGTGTCCACTTGTCTTTATGGTCTCTCGTATACATCGTTTGGCCGCCCATATCGATGGCCGCTCTGTTAAATACCATCACGTATCCATGCCTCAAAACGCCCGTAATTTCCTACATCTTCGAGAATCATTGCGAATTTAAAAATGTAATATGAATGCTTACAGCATATCTCCCCAGGTTTTTAGCATGACTTTCGCATGCAGATGATTTTCTACATCTATTTTCCCGAATAGCTGAAACCTCAATAGTGCCACTCTTACCTCTTACAATGAAGATTCGTAGCTGAGCCCTGGCGAATGTTTCTTCAATAATGTTGATGTTAAGAATGATTCTACTGTAAATATACGATGTACGATCTGAAAACCGGGAATGGCGATGCATTGATTAAACTCCCGTTTTGTCTTCAGTAACTGATGAATTACTCAAAAGCAAGAGAGATCGTAAAAAGTAAACATGTAGAGGAATGTAGATTTAAAAATTTTGTCATAAATTATTGCAATGCAACATTTCATCGCATTTTTAGAAGAATTTCCGGTGTACGCTCGATCTTGCGTCTGTCGTCTATACTATCATGACTCGTGTTTCTATTGAACCGCACTTGAGATGATCATCTAGAGGTAATTTTGTGCACCAGAGTAGATATAAATACCTAATATAGCTAATAAGCCTTCAGGAATGTGGACAAGTGTGCATGAGTTGTGTTCCACTGCATGGTCTATGGTATTTTGGTCATTAATACAGTTCACACATCAGATGACAAAGTTACTTGTCGAGACTTCATTCAATATTTGCCATGAATATTCTGTAATTGTGTAATTGTGCAAATTTTTTCATATACTGAAATACACTTTTTGTACTGTTCTATAAGTGATCAAATTTATAGGAGAGTTCACAGCGACGACTATATATTGGTATTTCTGTGGCTGAGACATGCATAATTTATTTAAAGAACAGACAGCGATTGTCCGAAAATTATGTAACGATAAAATTATTTTTGAGTGTCTGGCATTAAATGAATTACACATCACCTCCATTAAGCATATTTGACATGATACCAGGACCACTCTGTGTGAGATGGAATACGCTCAACAAATGCGTTGACTCTCGTGGTCTTTTGATCAAGAAATATAGAGGTAAAACGTCATGGGTATTATTTCCTTCAATAGTTACAATGAGGAGTTTGCTATTTCATCATCGAAGACAAATAACGCGTAGAATTTAGATTACGTAGAATAATTGTATTTGCAATGCAAGGAATTTTAAAAAGCTGTGGTAAAATCGTTTCGTTTGTAGTTTTGACAATCTTGCTTGCCGAAATAAAATAATTTATTGCTTTAAAATTTCTTTCAAGTTTAACCAATATGCTGTTTTCAAACATTTCTATTCAAGAATTTTGAACAAGAAAAATAAACAATGAGATTGTCAATTAACGCAATTCTAAGAAAAATAATTAAGTTAATCTAATAAATATTTAATCTAAGCACAGAAAAAACTGAGCAACGGAGCAGAAGAGTAGGTGACGGCTTTGAAAACCGGAAGTTTCATTAAAAAATGAAAAAATCTTCATTACGCCTTGGGCACTAAAATAATGAAATAATCATGCGACACTATTCCCAAGTCAAATCAACAATACAATAGTTTATTTTCGTAAACATACCTCTGCAGTTTCTGACGCGCGTTAATTTTATCTTTGCACCCCGGTGCAAAGTTGCTTCAACTTAAATCACGCTGGCACGGGAACGATGGTGCGGAATCTACCCGCTCTCTGGATAGTTACCCTATAGTTACCACGTCCTGGAAACCATCACGTACCACTAGTGGTAGACGCATCGCAGGTTGAGAATCCCTGCTCGAAATTGAGCGACGCTCATCGAGTTCGTGTTTCGATCGTTGTGTCGAAAATGTTTAATTAAATTTACGTAGTAAGGTCGTCAGTTGAGCTCTTGGGTCTGAGAAGGAATGGAAGCTTCTCCAGTTCACTTTTTATCTCTTCAAAGCTCACCTTTCTCCTGAAATGACATATTGGAGCGTAAATAACATATTAAAGTATTAATACGCTTGGCAAATGCTTCAAGAAAGCACCCTTTGATTATCGTCATCATAATCATTCACCGTTCGAACAAGCACAACGCAATCAGGTCGTATAAAGTATGAGAATGAGCATTCAGAACATAAGACGAATCTGGCTATGTAATATGCTGTATAATAAGTCAGGCGGAGCAATAATATTTAAAGAAGAATTATTGTATTGGATTTACGTTTGCCAAACGTGAGTCATTTGAGGATTCTTTCAAGTTTAACCAATAAGATTAAACGGCATTCATACTCCAATGAAAATTTCGCTCGTCGGTAATTTGCGATGGAACAAAAATGTATTTCATTGAACTTAATGACGTTCAGAGATAGTTTTTTTTATTTTCTTGCGACAAACTCTATTTTATAGGTGAAATGTTGAGTAATTATTCACTGTGCACAATTTTATATACGAAACGCCCCTGACATGCCCATGATATGCAACAAGTAACAACCACGATGTTCAAATGCAGACGTTCAACGGTTCTAGATTGCAAAGGCTCAACACCGACAGATATTGAACATTCACTAGAATCGGGCTAGAAACACAATTACTTGGTCGAGACAGTCATCAAACCCATAGAATGAAACATCATAATAGAATTAAACATGATAGCAGAATGAAACATCATGGTAGAATGAAACATCATAGTAGAATGAAACATCATAGTAGAATGAAACATCATAGTAGAATAATTAATGTCGGTTGATAATGCTGAATTTGGCCGATCACCGATCCTAGGAAACGGAAGTTTTACCGCTTGCTGTGACTGTCAACCCTCAACGCCCACTCTTATTCTTTTACTCGATCCAAATCGTTCCTCGGAACTTCAGCGGCTCTGCCACGACCACATTGCTACATTCATCTTGAACAAGTTCCAGGAATTTGTATTTTTCAATTTTCCTGATACCTGGAGATTTTAGCAGCCTAGGCTGAGGTCATCAAACTCTAAAAGATTTGAACTAACTTCGATCGCTAGTCTTGGTGAGAAGTTCGTGCCTAGGTTAAACTTACCCGTGAATGAAATTTGCAAGTTTCCTATGGCTGTAATGGGAAATACACTTCCCACTGACAAACCACTTGTCGATATCCTTATAAACTTTTCGATGATTTTGTTTTATTACTGAATGATGAAACTGTTGCCCGCTTTTGTTAACATGCAAAGCGTCGTTTGAATTAACGTCACCCGCAGTCACGTCTTCTGCTTCGTGAAGTCTTTCGCAGAGGTCGCAGAAAGCTTGTTTGTTCACCGCATTTTCCTGATCAAATACTCTGTAGCCATTCTCTTTCCACCTTGTATAAAAAATCGGTTGATTATTAATTATGTAGCGCAAGTTGAATGTAGGTCCTGGCAACGTGTCATAGAACTTAAATCATTTTCATTTTAACGATTCAGAAAGTATTATAATATAACATTCTTCGGAAAGAAAGTAGTCCCAGTGTTCATGGTATACATTCGATATCGAAAATATTTATGATAAATTGCACTTTGTGTGGCATAGGATGAATAATGTTTAGGTAGAACAAGCCTCAAAATACATTATTGCCTGGAAGTCGTTAGAATTTGTTCATTCAAAAACCATATCTTTGAGGAACATATAGTTTAAATAAATTAAATATTACTGCTAGATTTGAAACTTGGGTGAACATTGTGAGCCATGTCGGTCGAGTCTATATAGAGTTGATAACAGCTAAATTTTTACCTGAACTACTCATTATAAACCGCGTCATTCGAGTCCAGATATGGTAGATATTAACCGCTAAATTCTAACCTGGAGTATTTATAGTAAGCCGTGTCGTTCGAGTCCAGATATGGTAGATATTAACCGCTAAATATTAACCTGTAGTACTCATTAAAATCCTTATCATTTGAGTTCAGATTTGGTAGATATTAACCGCTAAATTTTAACCTGTAGTACTCATTAAAAGCCTTGTCATTCAAGTCCAGATATGCTTTATATTAACCGCTAAATTTTAACCTGAAGTACTCATTGTAATTTGTAAGCCATGTCATTCGAGTCCACACATGGTAGATATTAACCGCTAAATTTTAACCTGAAGTACTCATTGTAAGCCGTGTCGTTCGAGTCCAGGTAGAGTAGATAGCTCGCCAGGTCTTGTACGGAGGCAAAGTCCATGACGTCGATGTAGGCGCCCTTGGGAATTTGAGTTCTTTCGTAGCCGAGGCCATAGACGACAGGCACCACGTTGTACCTGTCGGTGGAGGAACGCACATGTGTAAGGTTTATAAGTATTGGATGCTCCCACTATGCTATAATCTCGGTTGATTCATTTCTTCTAGCTCCATTATGCCGCAATAGTCATACGTGGAATGAACCACGTTGGTTGGGTAATTTTAATAACTGTGCCGTATTAGCACAAGTGTTGTTCGTAAATTTACGTTAAATTGGTTTTTCAGGTCCACGCTGCGCAACTGAAGTGAAATGTTCCTGAGTTTATTTTCGCATTCTTCTTATGCATATAAATAGTACTAAACTTCATAAAAAGCAAGAAATCCTACAGTTTCTCTATTACTACTAATTTGCATCGAGTTCTTCCAAAACTATGTTGAAAAAGGAAGTCTAGTACCAAACCAGAGTCACTCACTTAATAGTGTTGAAAAATTTCTCGGTGATGTAGTCCACACAAAGGCTGTTCTCGAAGGCTAAGTAGAATTTGTAGTCTCTCTCCAGCATCTCCCGGCAACTTTTATCGTCTTTCCTCATACAAATTAACGTCCCGCAGGCGCCATAGACGTCCACTTCCATGTGTGTCTGTAGAGCCTTCACCAGACTGTCCAGGCAATTAACAGTGTCTTAAAATTAGTTCTGCCTCAAGCTGCTTAGTGATTCGCAATGAATCTGGACAAAATAATAACCTCAAATATATAAGATATCGTTATATTCTATAAATATTTTTGAACCCACTGCTCTCTATCGCTGACGGTGCGGCAGTTACTGACAAACCAGGCTGCAAGTTTTGTCTTTCCATGAGCGTAATTTTTGGGAGCAGCAGTCTTGGCTGAGACGTTGGGTGAGAACAAAATTCTCCCGTACCTGTTGTTCCGAAATGAAATAAGTTTTACGGAAATGAAAAATGTTTAAACATGAAAAGTTTAAAGATATTGCCACTTGTGTTAAACTGATTACTGCTAATTGGACCTTTGAACTACGAAAATTTAATTTAAGGTGGTTGGTGGCTTTAATTTTGGTGGTGGTTGGTGGCCATAAAATCGACATTTAATTTAAGGTGGTTGGTGGTTTTAATTTTGGAGGTGGCTGGTGGCCATAAAATCGACATTTAATTTAAGGTGGTTGGTGGCCATAAGAACAACATGATTCAATCAAACTGGAAACGCCACAGTTTAGGGTGAAATTAGGTGGCGTCTCGAAGCTTGCGGGATGCTGATATATAAATATTGCCTCGACAGTTGACTGCGTGGGCAGCTAGCAGATAGCTGATCGAATTATCTGTCCTGGTGACTCTGAGCTATTCCAGGAGACACGGTCAAGCAGTTGTTGTGCATGGGTGGAGTGTGTCGACCGAGCGTTCGGTAGTGTAATCCAGTCGAGCTTCGCCTTCTGCAGAGCACGTTAAATCAAAGACAGAACTATTGCGAACAATGAAAGCAAGGACTAAACGATTCATTGAAGAACGGTAAGAACCGACAACGATGAGAATTTTGCCGTGTGTTATGTATTGGCGATGTTAATCATACCCTTCAACACAAATTCATCCTTTCTCCGATCTCCATCATCGGACTGCAACATCAATGACCGCCACAATTGAAACAAGAAGAGAACAGCAAAATATAAATATCGGTGACACAACACCGCGTGCTTCGCTGAAACTAGGAAGGAATAGAAGTTCAGCTGTGAATCAGAAGCTGTGGAGCAAAGTTCCTCCCTGATGCACGGCTCCACGCGCTGCGCCGGGCGCACTACCAAAAAATTTCCGTGCAGAAGCTTACCCATGGAACCCCAGTGCCAAAGTCAGTCAAGATGCGGCTGCATCCTGTCTTCGTAAAAACGGTGATGTATCCTGTTGTTTAATGTAAATTTTGAACTGCTCTAAGGTAGAATTTTCCTAGCCGCTTAGATAAGTTTTGTCTATATGCTGACCGTTAAAATATGAAGGTCTTATTTGTGTTTCACAGTTTCCTCCTAACGTTAGAATTCACTGTCTGTTACCAAACTAATAACTTGCCGAAATTATAGATCATACCACACGAGCCTGAAGAGTAAGGCGTTCAGCAAATCGACCACCGTATAGGTTTGAGATCATTGATTGATGCAATATAATTTAAGATTGCTGGGAGTTAAAGGAACTCCCTTAATCCAATAGGCAGCTTAGTCAGGCAAGAAGTTAATTTTTTTAATCAATGCAGTTCAAAATTTAAACTCAACCTGACTAATTGTTATTTTAACTGGAGATTTCAGACGCGGAAGAAATTTTATTTTCTGTAAATTTGATTTAAATAGCTAGTCAATTTTACGGTCGTGGGAAGTCAGAGTCGAGACGAAAAGTCATGGTCCAGTTGAAGACGCCGTTGTAGGTGTTGAGGTCCGCGTAAGTGTACAGGGCGCTCTCGATCATCCAGAAGACGTAGAATGTGTGGGGAGACCTGGAAAAAAAGTTTATACAGTTTTAGGCAATATTAATGATACTGAACACAGTTAAGTGTTGTATTAATTAGAGGCGCTAAAATAGACTAATCATAATCATGCAAATTACAGAAAGCAAGTATTCATATGAGAATGAAAAATGTTGTTGTTATCTGGGGTTGTCATGATCTCAAGTAACACCAATATTCATACAAGGTGACAAAAGTAGCACCTGTCAGTCTGACGAGTGTTGTTTTTAAGGTAACGAATCTGTTGTGAGAGATAGGATTATCGATCACTTGACTGTTCACCATCTCCTATCAAATTGTCAACATGGTTTTATTGTCGGTAGATCCTGCACCACTAACTTATTGTCTACGTTGAACGATTGGACTCGCCTGCTGAACGAAAGAAAGCCAGTGGATGCACTGTACCGCGATTTTGCCACAGCATTTGACAGTGTTCCGCATGAGCGGCTGTTGCGTAAAGTGAAGTCTTTGGGAATTAAGGGAAACGTACTCCAATGGATCAGGGGGATTTTTTAGTAGGTAGACGACAACGTGTTAGTATTAACGGAACCGTGTCAGACTGGGCATCAGGGCGCAGTGACGTGAAACAAGGAAGCGTTCATGGGCCTATTTTGTTCGTTGCTTTTATAAACGATCTGCCAGAAGTAGTGTCCAATGTGTGCTCCATGTATGCCGACGACACAGACGTTTATAATACAGTGAAGGATGCGTCAAATAAAGCGCAATTGCAAGATGATCTTGACAATTTGGTTAAATGTGCTGATCTTTGGCAGCTGCGGTTTAATGCTGACAAGTGAATAATAATAATAATAATAGCGGTTTCAGCGTTTAGTAGGCCGTAGGCCTGTCGCCGATTCTTAACATCGCAGAACATTCACAGCATTTTGCGGTCTCGAACTCGCAACTCACTGCTACAATTCTGCTGTGCTTAACCGCCCGGCCTCCTTGCCGATTCTGACCAGAAACTGACGCACAGAGCTGGGATCGAACCCGCGCCTCTCTGCGCCGATCTTGGTACTCTGAACTGTTACCACTAGGCCACCCTGCCTCTAAAGTTTAGGCTCGTGTGGTCTCCGTTAAACCGTGGCCGAGAGCGGACGCTCGTGCTCGTGGTCCCAAATTTCTAAATTTTTAACTTTTACTGTCCCGTTTTCGGAACTCTTTTCGCATTTTTTTATGATCCGTGCCAGAGAATAACCGAATTTCAGTTCAGTTCAGTGAAGTCAGTAAAAGTGAGTGCAAATAGAATGAACAAGCCAAACAAGTGAAGTGTTTTCATTTTTAAATAACGCGGACTTGTAGTCAGTGAGGGTTGCCGCGCGAGGGTAACGCCCACGCCCTGGCCCACGCGGGACAATAAGCCTTTGTTCTCGCGCCTACCTCTTCCTAGCCGCTGTGATCGCCGCTTTCTGAAAGCCGCTTGCTCTCAAGCCTGTAACAATTTTGAACAATCTAACAATTTTTAGAAATTTTACTCAACTTGATTTCGGTTTTTAACTTGTGTTTATCTAGCTCTTGCATTTCCCTCGGCAGCTGCAGCTCAGCTGTTCCTCAAGCCGGAATTTTCGAGGGAACTTTACTATACTCAACTCAACTCAGTTTTGTATGTTTATCCGTCATTTTCTGTATTTTTCTCCGTTCTTTTCTCCGTTCAAGAGAACTAGTTCGTGCATTTAATAATTTAATAATGGCTGGACAGAAAATAAAAAAGATAGTCGAAAAGCCCTCTACGGCCTCTAGAGAAAAGCCGTCTACGGCCTCTAGAACACAAACTAAAACCAAATCAGCCCAGCCAGAGATGAAAGTTTGCAAGTACTGCAAAGAGATCTCTCTGAGCGAAGTCCAGATGGTCACCTGTGAACTATGCGAATATCTCATTTGCATCAGCTGTTCGAAGTTGAGCTCTAAGGAGCACACATTTCTCCAGAAATCTAAATTGCTTCATTGGTTTTGCCGTGATTGCGAAAAACTCTAGATAAAGCTATGGAAAAATATATGTTCAGATTTGAAATGCCTAGCTCCTTATCGAACCCGGTGGAAGTCTAGTAGCTACTTCAAACTATCGTCAGTCATGAAAAGATCCGGTCAAATGACACGAGTTTAGATCTATGAACAAGGCACGAAAAGGAAAAGAATTAATCGGCGACAGGCCACATCAGGCCTACACTTCAGCGCCGACATCACTATGTTATGTTATGTTACTTCACCTCGGCAAGAACAATGAACAGTAAGTTTGCAGTATGAGATGACATGGTTGCAACGAGAGAGTAATGATTGAAAGTCTAGTGTGGAAAAAGATCTCGGAGTTTTTGTCGACAAGGAGCTGAAATTTTCTAATTACGTTGAAACGCAAGCTAATACATCCAACAAACTTGGACTAATTAGACGCTCATACGAGTTCCTAGATGCAGAAGCGATGAATCAGTTGTTTGTTGCTGTCGTGCGCCCGAATCCAGTGTTTGGTAACGTTGTGTGGTCACCGAGATTTGAAAATGACAAAAATTTATAGAGAATATTCAAAGACGAAACAGGGATAATTCCAGGCTTGAAGGGCAAGTCCTATGAAGAAAGATTAAAGATTATGAAGCTTCCAAGCCTCTGTTATCGACGTCTGCGTAGAAACCTCATTGAACTATAAAAATATACATATGGTTTATACAAGGTCCCTAAAGGATTACTAGATTTTGAAACAAGAGCCATCACCAGGGGCCACGGCTATAAACTAAAAAAAACTGCGCTGCAACTTATCCACGCAACATTTCTTCTCGCTTCGAATCGCCGACATGTGGAACAGCCCCTCCGATTACATCGTTGGCGCTCCAAGTAACGCGTTCAAGAACAGGCTTTCGTGATTGGGACTGGACAGTAATTTAATAGATGTTTCAGCGTTTGTTAGGTCGCCTATTCTTAACATAGCAGAACATTCACAGCATTTTGCGGTCTCGAACTCGCAACGCACTGCTACAATTCTGCTGTGTTTAACTGTCCGGCCTCCTCACCGATTCTGACCAGAAACTGGCGCACAAGCTCGGATCGAACCCGCGCCTCTCTGCTCCAATCATGGTACTCTGAACTTTAACCACTAGGCCACAGTAGAATAAAAAGCTGTCATAGAGAAGCTGATTTACACGCTTTGCGTTGTTAAGGCAGTGAAGTATTATTAAGAAATGAGCATAATTTCGATAATCTTGATAAAAGCGTGCGGAAATCCCTAGTCAGTGACTAGCCAATATCTATTACTGAACTAAACTTCTCTAATGTCTCACCTAACTTCGGGAAGGGACTTGTCGTTTGCCCTGAGATGCCACAAGATGGCGTCGGCTCGCTCAGCTGGCAGCAGCTGCCGGTCGTGGGTAGCGTAGCACTCGGTGACGCGGCAGCCCGCCTCAATGAACGGCTCCTGGCCGAGGCCGAACCAAAAATCTTCGGCTCCGTACGCCTGTCATTGAAAGAATATTGCTACAAAATTAACGGAGCCCAAATTCCTACCTGAGAGTATTATTTGAGAATGGCTACATAACAATGAGTGAGTTGCATACGCGTCGAAAACCTTTCCGTTTATTCTTTTCCTTGTGTACAATGTTTTTAATCCTCAGCTCTTCCATTTAATGATCGTTTTTGATGGGAATCAATTGCTTTTATTATGAAGTTTAATTATGTATAATGTGAAGTATAATTTAAAAATACCTCGCGTAAACTGTTCCTCGTATTAAAAACCACGAGGAACATCCAACGACCTGCATGATATCCGAAATGATCGCTTATTTGTATTATACAGTAAATTTTTTTTTGACATCAGTGATCATTGAACAAAGCTGGACGAAAGGAGATGAGGCTCAGAAATGAAGCAGTTTTTCCCCAACCTATTCTCATCATTGCTTTCGAATAAATTTTCTCTCACGATTTCAACATATACGAACCGCATGATGAATTCTCTGGAATAACATCGTCGTAAACACCGTAATTACGCACAATTGATTTAAATTGCATTGCATTTATTTTCTAAGTTGGAATTATAAATTCCGCGTTTCTTGCAGAATTAATAATTTGAAATATCGGGTTTTATTTGTTATTTTTTAATATCTTTTATTTTATATCTTTTTGTTTCCTTATGAAATTTATGAAACTATAAAGGCTCGAGCACAGAAATAGTGAAAGTAATAACAGTAATAATCGAGCACAGAAATAGTGAAAGTAATAAGTAGAAAAAATTACGAATGATTATTAATATTCATGACATTACTAATAATTATTAATAATAAATTTACCCTGGGGGAATGTATTCTTTATTCAATGCAGAGGTGCAATTATTCATGATTCATGCCACAATTAACGTACATCATTCCAGTAAAGGATTTTCTTGAAATTCTTGTATTTGGGACCAAGGAGATCGCCTTTCTCCAGCGGCCCATTAACGTTGGAGTCTTGCTCAATTGTTTTTTTTACTACATTTGCCTTGGTCAACCCTGCGAAAATGATAGATTAAAATTATCTATTTATACAAGTCATATGTATAAAATATATTCAATGCGCCTTTCCTTTCACGCACAAATTTTGCATTGACAGACTTATAGGATATGATGTTTGGAACGTTAACAGATCAGTATACAGGAAGATCTGTCGTTCGAATGGAGAATCAATTTAAATCGTACATCAATTGCAATTTTGATCGCTCCAGAAACTAAGCGAGTAACGTCCCGAATTAAGAACACTAGCTGATCCATGTACGTATCATGGGTAATCATGATACCGACTTGCTTTTGCGAAAGGTCAGTTTGCATTTACCGACACTTGTGCAACCTGCTGAATTCTGGATTATATATATCTAGGGTGGAAGCCGCGGGTAGCTCAGTAACTTCTTTCCAGCGGCACTTTCAGATTTCCTCACTTACTGAGTTTCCTATTTACAATCATACAAAATGTATATGCACTTTATATCATCAACACGAAATTTCATGTATATTTTTGAATTTTATGCATTCAATTTGCTTAAGATTGGAATCCTGAAATTTTCGCAATAATATTTCTCAATATTAGTCAGGAACCGCAATTCTCATTGAGTTTTTAATAACTGATCCATCCAATCAAGTGAAGGATGCTTTCTCAAGTCTTCCTGCCTGCTCGAATACATTGAGTTGGTCATTCATTCCGTTATGTTTTTCCGATATCTTATCTTTTCCCCGATGTACTAACTTGTGAAATAAACGATCTTTCTACCAAAATTTAACCAACCTTGCTTCACGCCTGACAGAGCGTGTTGCTCCAATGAATTTTTCTGTTGGTCCAGTAGATATTGTTTGTCTTGCGGTTGCTTATTGTTTTGCTGTACCTGAAGATCTTGCTTTTGCTCCTGCTGTTGTTTCAACTGCGGATTTGATTGCAGTTGCTGCTGATGTCTGAACTGTCGCTGTTGAAGATCTCTGTTCTTGTAGTTCGCCACGTCTTTGGAACGAAAGCTTGATGAGGAAGATCTGTCGTACAGGTTACAAGCGTTAGGCTAGTATCGCAAACTTAGACTTTCAGTTCAGTGCCATCTTTTTGTACGCTACCAGTAAACAAACGACAAGTTTGCATATTTCAATTCAATTTACATATTTGTCGATGAATACAGTATCGGGAATTTTATATCAAAACCATGATACCTAAATTTGATTGTTACATTTAAATTTATGGGCAATAATTTTCATGATCTCACGTGCGGTAGTCCCAGCTGACGAGACTGAAGATGGCGTACAGTGAGAAACACAACAAAATTAGTGGATAAATCAATCCTCTAGGCCTACGCCTGAAATTCAACGCTGGGGCAACCCGCATTCTGGTCAGTCCGAAGATATCAGTGACTATGACTTTCCGAAAGCGATTGTGGTGTCAGTAAGTATTACATAGAAATATTTTATGTCTTATTTTGTCCATCCACAGTTATTTTAACATGAAGTTATTTGGCTGTAACGACGCTTGAGCATCAAGTTGTGTGTGCTCAAAACATGTGTGTGTTTTTACGTGTTTCAAAACAAAAATAAATTTAGTTCATGGCAATTCATAAGTATTGGTCGAATTAAAATATAAACAGCTAAACTTAGGAGTCGACGTTAAGAGATTCCGATGTTTATTGAGTAAAAGTCTGTTGGCCAAAGATATTTTCTGTCGAAAAATTTATTTGGATGTTGGAAACCATCTTGTCCATGTTGTGCAAGAGCTAAAATGAAATAAATAAAAATATCTTCGTTTGTTTTATAAAGGAAGCAACTTAATGTCTTCTATATTTTCAGAAATGCACGTTGAATCAACCAAAACTTATGATGATATACAGAAAATTGAATTGTCTGCGATGCTTGCTTTCCATAAAATTTATTGATGGACCGGATATTGAATTTTCAAAGGATGATCTCATTTTTTTTAAGCGCAAATGTCGGTCTTTTTCAATTATTAATAATTTTTCTTCTCATGCAATTTTGAAAGACACGTTACTGTTTTCGTATAACAATGACAGGATCACTTAATATTTACAAATGCTTGTCATCTCTATCCCGCACTCCGGCAGAAATACAACTGTCCAGAAATACAACTGACTGTAAGAATAGTGATGAATTCTATATCTCTAATCTCATTTATCTTATCAATTCAGTGTCGCTTTTATCTACAGCAGTCGTTCCCAAACTTTTTACGATGGAGCAGCTTATAGGCGTGTCCTAGTTATACGTACATCTTAGATCGTAGCCCATAATATGTAATACTTGCATTATATTTCGCTTAAAACGCCCATAATAGGCTAATTAATTATATATATGTACTATTTGTATAAAACGGCCCACCGTTCTGGCCAGATGGGTGGCCTGTGGCAACAGTTGCAACATGATGCCAGATTATCTTGTCTTTGGCGGTAAACATTTTTATTAAGTAATAATAAGTAACTTCTTAATAATGTTTCACGAAACGCAAAGTGATCCCGTTTTAAGGGATCACTTTGAAAAGGGCGAGATGAGCGGTGCGATACATCTGCTCGTTACTCGTGGGTACTCACTTATTAACTTAGGTTTAAGGTTGCCGCACTCATGACCTCGCTTATTATAAGGGATGTATTGTAATTGTCTCTCATGATACAATAGAGGCACGGAGTTGCAAGTCCTGTTCATTGTTACAACACTTCTCATTAACTTCACTTCAAGATGTTTGTTTGTCTGTTTGCCTGTCTCCTACAAATCTTATAATCGATATACCTGTCCAATCAATCTGAAATTTTGCGCACTTGCGTAAAGTCGGAGACAATGCTGGAATGAATGAATAATTTAAAAAATGTAAATTTTTGTTTTATATAAAAAATTGAAAACTATTTTTTTAATATTTCAAAATAAAATACGAAATTCATTGTACATGTGTATAACATCTGAGACACTTCCCTCTATCTATGTATATAGACGTGTTGTCTTTAAGAAGTAATTTTTAAAAGCATATTATTTTGTGTTGATCATAGCCGAATCACGACTGACGATTTTTATTACTAATATCGTAAAGTGTTATTTATGTTAGTCTTTGTTTTTGTTTGTGCATATACTGTTTTTGGTCCATATCCTGCGTTGTTGATAATTTTCGCTAGTCGCAAATTATTGTTTTTGTGTCTTTTTAGAAAGCCTGGAAAATTTGGATGCAATCCTTTCCTCCCAGTTTTGATATACCATGCAGACCGTTGCCCTAAAACGAACAAAATTTCAGGTTCAGGTGTAGTCCGACGCGAAAAGTATCGTGGATACACGAACATATACGGCCCTTTATAGGCCCGCGTATATATGCGGAGCCAGGCTTCAAACATAAACAAGCACAAACGCACTCCTCAAATATTTACAGGATTGGCATTTAATTTACTTGTTGCTTAGAGATTACGTGATGCCAAGTCTGTCTCCGAGGCACAATTATTGTGCTATTGCAGCAATCTCCTACATGCAACCTGAATTACGGGAGCGTTCGATCACCGTGACCGCTAGCTGTTATGGTAGTTCCGCGGCTGCAATCGGCATAATTTATTACAGGAACAGACGGAGATTTTCTAGAACATTTGGAGGTGCTAGTTATTTTCAGTATCTGGCCTTAAGACGACATATTTTTAATTACACACCACCTCCAGAAGTCAAGTTGACACAATATGAGGCACGCACCGTGCGTGAATTGTGATAAACACACAAAGATGGCGTGCATGGGCTCCCGACTAACCTGTGTACTCTTGATCAATACATAAAGAGATAATGCATGCTTGGACATGATTACCTTCACTGGTTGCTACAAGGAGCTTGTTATTTGATCATTAAAATGTAATAACACAGAGAGGAAGTACAGAAGGGTATTTGTAAAATCGTTTGGTCGTTAGCTTTCAATTCTATCGTATCATAATTTACAGGCAACAGACGCCACACGTTTTTGCAGTTTTTTTTTTTTTGCGTTGTGCATTGTGCAATCATCAAGTGCAAACAATACAAAAAAGCAGTGAGTTGAATGGAAAATGGTGCTTATTAAAATTCCTTGAAGCTTAAGCTAGTAGTAGGCGAATCTTATTATATTCTTAACAACTTTGCTGCTCTGCACACTCACGATTTTCATATGAAATAGCGACAAATTCTGAAATCGTGCTCAAATTATTGAGATGAACAAGTTTGTAGAATATTGGCTCGATCACAAATCAGATCACTAACAGAAATTCAAGTGCTGCGGTGTGCCAATGAGCAGATCCCTTTATCGGGTGAACACATTGTCTTCGTAGACATTTACATGTTTATTCATGTTGCAAACTGAGTTTTAAATTCATTACAATCGAAAACCAGAAGTTGCCCTAAATCGAGTCACTGCGTGGATGAGGTCTTGCTTTCGCCTTCATTTACGTTGGACGATCGTCTGTTGAATTCTTGGGCTTGAAAAGTAACGGGAGCTTCTGCAGTTCACTTTTCATGTCTTCATGGCTCACATATTTCCTGGAATTATGTACATTATTGAACAAAAATATTGTAATAATGCGCCTTGTATATGCGGAAACAAAGTTTCGCACTATTATTGTCATCTTCATATGTCACAACGTGTTCATGTCGTAATTATATCGAATTGATAGGCAGAGAATTTAGCTTAAGTAATATGTTGTTTGCATGTGTATCATAAAGCAGCAATGTAATACAAACGGGAAATTATCGCAATTACATTTGCCTTCACTCGAGTTATTCAGCGATTCTTTCAAGGGTTATTATTATGTCTAAATTGAATTTTCAACTCGAATAGCATTATTTTTTGTAATTCATTTTTTCCTGCTTTTGGTAATCCATTACAAAAATTGTGAAAGTTCCTTTGTTTGTTTGTTGATTTCGCCTGGCGCTGTATGATATTTAGAATATACGCGAGCTATTCGAGCGCGTAGCTGCAATATATATCCTGTCGTCACGTTTTTCTCAGTATTATGGGGAAAGTAATCAATTGCAAAAGGGAGAAGGAAGAGTGAATTAAGGAAATGAAGCAAGATTCTTAAATCTAGACTCGTTAATATCATTAAAAATTCAAACTAAGTTAATTCTAGTATCAAACAATGAGTTTTATGGCACTTAAGGTCTAAATGTGTGTTGGAATGGATCTTTATATAATTAATCCACTTCATGTTTAAAATTACTTTACGGATTCTAGACGAGGGAATTCGTTTAAACATGATTTTCAGCTGGTCGGAATTATTTCTCCAGAGCAACACCGGGTAAGCCTTCCAATACCAAGACACGCCTATATATAGGCGCACTGCTTGATGTTAGAATTGCATTTAAATTGTGATTTTTTGGTCGTACATTTACAAGGGCCAACTTGATTTCAAGGGCCATGGGCAGTGTGATTATCACCATGGGTGCACAATTTTAGTTATAAAACTAACTGTATAGGCTCATGATTTTCTACAATCACGACTTTACTGTAATTAAAGGTCGGACGTTTGGCGATTCGTGATTGCATGGATAGCAAATATATATAATTTATCCATTCATTACAATCGACATTTTAATAAGTTCAAAAGGGCCATGCATGCACAATAGAAAGAATTCTAGTACGTAAATAGTTCCTAAATTTACTATTTTAATTTTTTAGGAATAATTGAGGAGAGAACCGAACTATTCTGCTGTCATCTAATATTGAAAGTTTTTCAATTGATATAACTATTATTGATGAGAAAAATTGCACCTTAGTCAGATAATCTTAGATAAAACTTACCCGTGAACGAAACTCTTGAGCTTTTCATTGTTGTTGGGGGAAATGCACTGTCCAGTAGCAAACCATTCGTTGATATTGTAAACCTTTCGATACTTTTCTTTGATCATTGGGCGTTGAAACTGTTGTCCACTTTTGTTTACGTGCACACCGTCGTTTGAAGCAACGTCAACCACAGTCCTGTCTTCAGCTTCGTGAAGCCTTTCACATACGTCGCAGAAAGTTTGTTTGTACACCTCATGTTGCCCTTCCAATGCTTTGTAGCCTTCTTCTTTCCACCTTGTGTAAAAAAAATCAGCATATAATAATGTGGTGTATCTTCTTTGTAGATTCTTTCAAGGCGTCAACATAAGAACTTAAGTTCTCTAAATGTAGCAAAAACCGTTAACTGCAACATCACTGTTCTGTCTGCCGCGACTAAAGGTAAGTACACCCAAAACACCAACAAGTTAAGTAACAGGTAAGTACACCCAAAATACTATCTTAACGGAAATGTAAATATTTTCAATCAACTGAATTTGCAGTCAGAGTGGTTCAGAAAAGATTGCGTTGAAGAGGAAAATGAACTTTGGAATAGAAAAGCCGCAACTACCCATGAATCGTTCAATACAATTATTTGTTCAAAGATTTAACCTTAAGTACTAATTATAAGCCGTGTTATTCGAGTTCAGATATGATAGCTATTAATCGGTAGTTTTTAATCTGAAGTACTCATTTTAAGCTGTGTCATTCGAGTCCAGATATGGTAGATATTAACCGCTAAATTTTAACCTGAAGTACTCATTGTAGGCCGTGTCATTCGAGACCAGATTTGGCAGATATTAACAGCTAAATTTTAACCTGAAGTACTCATTGTAAGCCGTGTCGTTCGAGTCCAGGTAGAGTAGATAGCTCGCCAGGTCTTGTACGGAGGCAAAGTCCATGACGTCGATGTAGGCGCCCTTGGGAATTTGAGTTCTTTCGTAGCCGAGGCCATAGACGACAGGCACCACGTTGTACCTGTCGGTGGAGGAACGCACTTGTGTAAGGTTTATAAGTATTGGATGCTCCCACTATGCTATAATCTCGGTTGATTCATTTCTTCTAGCTCCATTATGCCGCAATAGTCATACGTGGAATGAACCACATTGGCTGGGTAATTTTAATAACTGTGCCGTATATTAGCACAAAAGTTTTGTTCGTAAATTTATGTCCATTTGTTTTCAGGTCACACAGCGCTCCTGAAGTGAAAGTGAAGTCACACTCTTCTAATGTATATAGAAAGTATTAAACTTCATAAAAAGCAAGAAATCTCGCAGTTTCTCTATTACTACTCATTTGCATCGAGCTCTTCCAAAATTGTGTTGAAAAAAGGAAGTCGAGTACCAAACCTTATTCACTCACTTGATAGTTTCGAAAAATTTCTCGGTGATGTAGTCTACACAAAGGCTGTTCTCAAAGGCCAAGTAGAATTTGTAGTCTTTCTCCAGCATCTCCCTGCATTCATTGCTCTCTTCTATCGTACAAATTAACGTCCCGCATCCTCCATAGATGTCCACGTCCATGTGTGTCTGTAGAACCTTCACCAGGCTGTCGAGGCCATTAACAAACTCTTATTTCTGTCCCAAACGTCAAAATGAGAGTCGCAATGATTCTGTAGGAGATGAAAATTTGAAATATATAAGATATCATCATATTGTTGAAGTATTTTCAAACTCACTGCTCTCTGCCGCTGATGGTGTAGCAGTTACTGACAAACCAGGCGGCCAGTTTAGTTTTCCCATGAGCGTAATTTTTGGGTGCGGCAGTCTTGGCTGAGACATTGGGTGAGAACACTATACTCCCGTACCTGTTGATCATGAATTTGAAATGAGTTTTGAGTGCCAACAAATATCGACCGTCTTAATTCATTATCGTTCGAAATCTGCAGTAATGTTGTGTCATTTTTTACTGCAAAGTCACGGCATGAATGACGTTCAGTTTTTCTAAATTAAATCATGCAAGGATCTTGTGAAAATTTACGGTCTTGGGAAGTCCGAGTCGAGACGATAAGTCATGGTCCAGTTGAAGACACCGTTGTAGGTGTTGAGGTCCGCGAATGGGTAACTCGCGCTCTCGATCACCCAAAAGATGTAGAAGGTATGAGGAGACCTGGAATGAAAGTTTGTGTGATTTGTAAGTAGTTTGATAAAAATATTTAAATATTAGTAATATAATCATAATATTGAACATTTATGTTGACAGAAGTGCAAAAACATGAGGTAAATTAATTTTATTCCCGTGAACTACAATTAAGAAATAATTGAAACTCGTTTGAATGCGAAGCTCTGTGGAATGATTTGTATTTAGTCGCGTTGATTAGAAATATTATGATTGAGTGCTTCTAAAATAAAGAAGTAACGTGATAGTTCTGAGAAGCATTTCGTGCGAAATTGATTGATCAAAAGACAATACGAGCCAAGAGCTCAGCTGCGATTCACGCAAGCAGCGTAAGACCTTTTCGCGAAGTTGTCTGACTCTTCAAAACGTGAAGACATGTTAGTGCTGGATTATAAAGTGAACATAACTATTCATGGGCATCTGAGAATAATTATCGAGGATTTGACGTATTTATAAGAAATCATTTGTGGATAACCGTCAAGAAACAGACAAATGTACGAGTAGGAATCGGCATTGAGAGATTAAGGCCCGTGTTCACACCTGCGATGACCTGATTTTTTATGCTTAACCAGCTACTCGCAATCTGTGGGCAGTAATGCATAGTATGTAAACTTTGTATTGAAACAATTGCGAGGAAAAGACTTGGAAAAACATTGTATATTAATGTTCATGAATCGTGCGATTTATATGCTTATTTTAGATGCCAATTTGTTTTGCTTTGCGTTCTCCACGAATCGGTGAAATTTCTTAAGTAGCCTCCTTATTGTAGATCTGAGGGAAGTTGGAGACTGAGGGTCTACTGAGAGAAGTTTGAGGGTAACTGAGGGGTCTCACTGAAGATTGAGGGATACTAGTCGTTTAATATTGCGCTGAAGATTTTGTATTTGACTGAGGCTTCCCTAAATACTGGTAGGGTAA